GATTACTAGATAGGTTCACAATAGAAAAAAACATAAAAACAATTGACCTTGTATGTACACAACTAGACACACAAATAAGGTCTAATTTAATATAGAATATTCCTTCAACAAAAAAAAAACACCAGAAAGAATACAACAGCATTTTAAAATACCAATACATTAATACAATGTTAACTGGATATAGGAATTTTGGGACCAGACACATTTCACTACATTTTGGAACGCACATTTGAAATAACAGGCTCATTTAAAAGATTACGATACACCACAATCAATTTATTGTAAGGTTTTCGATATATTTTAATACTGGCTTAGTAAGGACCGATAGGAATAGCGTGGAGACAGGTTTTGAGGCCAAAAAGTGTTAGGCAGATATCCAGACTAAATGGTCCTTAAGACATTTTACTTCATAAATTTAGATAGTGTATTCAATAAAATCAAAATTGCTCATAGTATTTTGAATTGAATTAAACGTTATTCTTGCTTAAAGAGATCATTGCCTTATCCGACAAATGTTTGCTTGAAAGAAATAATTGAGCGTTTATGTATAAATGATCCAAAATGACTATATAAAATTATATATTATTTCTTGAGGCTTCAGAAAAGGGAGAAGTTTTAAGTTCGATTGTATTTTTTTAATGTATGTTACCTCAGAGAAACCGATTAGGCAAATTGTTTTCTAATTTAGGTTTTTTTTACTTCCTTTGTACCTTATATCTTTGGTGGTAGTAAATTAAGGCGCAGTGAGGTCGATGATAAGTTTTTAAAAGTGTTTTTTTTTTATTATTTAAAATATTTCAGTATAAACTAACCACAGAATATCTCTTTATATATTGGGTTTGAAAATGTTGGAACGGATGTTGCCACTTCAATTGCTGTGCTATGTACTCAGTGTTAATTTATTTTCAAGAAAAAGTAAAAGAATTTGTCTTTTATTTTTTATATTTATATCCTCAAACTGTTCCATAGTTATTGCATAACGTTTGCATGAGTTAATGCAAAAATATAACACAATATATCCTTACGTTTACAAAATATCAATTTTAGATCAGGGACGAAAACAATCATACTGGTTGCTGGGGTAAGTGGTTATCATTACTTGAGATAATTCAAAGATCATGTGTCACTAGCGCTAAAATAGCGGTTTATCTATATTATCGCTGAGGTGGTTAACACAGAGTTCTTGACTACGGCCCGTATTTAAAATTAAAAATGATGGTGCTAAATACAGAAAAATACGGTAAACAATAGACCTGAACCCACTTGTGCCGACGTTAAGGTCCGTATTTTAAAAGACGTCTTAAGTATGCGTTGAACTCTGATTGTCTGAAATTGGTTTTAAGTTCAGATCAAAACTTTAGCGTCGATCTTATTACAGAAAGCGTTTTAAGTTTTACTTAGTTGAAACTACTTTCAAGTATTGATTTGAACTTACAGTCTGTTCTCAATTACGTTTCCGCATGATCGACATTATTATTTCGTACGAGTATTACGCAGCTAATTATTTAAAAAAAATCTTTTACAAACATAATTTCTGTGAATTTGTATATAGCTATTTGTTTGTATTTGTATTTGCTATTGGCTAATGTAGCAATGTAAACATATTAACAAACTTGTTGTTCATACAAAATTAAATATAATAAATATCTTAATATAAAAATGACTAGATATAGGCTATAACGGAACGTTCAAGTTATTTATCAACTCTTGTCAAATTATGTTTTTAAATTTATGTTACCTGAATAATATTATACTTTTAACGTAAATTGAAAGGTTGTGGTGATTTTAATTTAAACAAGTATTGTGTGTGTAAAATATGAGTTTCAGTGAATTTAATATCAATTTCAGTAAATTGAAGTGAATCGATTAACTAATACATACAACATAAAACAAGTTATTCTTTCGCAAATAAAGTAAAGTAAAATCTTTCGTAATTATTCAGAAACAAATCATTCTTATATACATTCATTTCTCCTAAAATGCCTTAGAAATCACCGCTTGAGACTAGCTTTAGCTTGTCTCACGTAAAGAAAGATCACATCTGTCAAAATCTATACCTGAGTAAAGATTTCGACATAAACGTCGTTCTTAAATAAGTTATCACTCATTTGAGTATGAATCAGCGAATTTCGTTTTAAGTGAGGTTCAAAAATAACATCTCTACTTAAAATAAGTTTTAAGACTAGATTCACGACTAAGAAGCCTATTAAAATACGGGCCTAAGACACATAAGTTTACAAACCTACAATAAATATGGATAAAATGACAATTATAAAATGTATGTTCTAACCAATGTTGCCATAGATTTAAAGCCACAGTGTTGCAAGTTAAAAGCAGATTTTTGATAACTGATGTGTCCGATATTATCATAGTATTATCACTTCTTTGCACATTTACTTACATGTTTCGATTAAATTTTCTTTCTGTAATTATATTTTATACTAGCATTAATATGTAAACAAATTATTACCAACAGAATATGCAACATTTACTTAAATAAATAATTATTATTATTATTTATACTTTTCCAGCGTTTGCTTTAGTTTAAGAAAAGTTTATGGCCTATGTACCTACTTTGCATTAAATTTCAGAAAAACCAGACTAAAAGTTCTTCAGCGCAAACAATACGAACAAATAAACGGTAATTTTTATATTTAGTTATGCTTATATTTAGCATTTCATTTAATAAAACATGGGCGTATATGCATACAACGCTGTGTAAAATTGTTAAAACGATTTGTATCTGTATATGAAATGGCTATTAATGTACGTTTAAAAGAACATCCGTCTCTTATTATTTACATTTAAAAGGCTATTTTGTACTGAACAGTCTTTTAAAACTCTGTAGTAATTAAAACTAATAATATGCTTACCATATCTTTAAAGAGCTTTAACCATTAAATTTTTTACAACCTTATACTGTGAGGTACCTACATAAAAAAGCCATTATAAGAAGGCCTCTAAATTTCCCAAAAGGGTACTTTGAGAGAGGTCTTTTAGTAATTTGACAATGACCAGCATATCAAGAGCCATGTTTCTATAGAAAGTATGGGTAATAAAAAGTCTTCTTGTTTGGGGTATATTATAGCATTTCGTTATCTTAACTACGACAAGCAAGCGAAAGGAATGTTGACGCCATTACGTAAATAATTATGTTTAAATGCCTTGAGATACGATTCCGAATCATCGGCATAAAATGTTGTATAGAAATACTTACAGAGTTAAGTGATATTACTTTAAATGTTTATATTAATATGTGAAGAGACATAGTAAAACTACAAGTGTGTTTCAAAGAAAATTTCGCTGAATTAAATTTAAATAGAAAAAAATCGGTTGTCTGTAAAGTCGGTTTACTGACGATAATTGAACGTGACAACGTCATAAGAAAATACTGATGGAATGGTTGCATTTTTCAAAAATGTATTATTGTATACGAGTAGCAGCTGTCCACGCGGACGCATCGCTCACTCAAGTAGGAGAGAGACAGATGTCGAACGCTGCCGAACGCGGAGGCCGATTGTGCCTCTTTGTCACTCGTTCCGCGCTCTCGCTTGCACTTCACGCCTTAAATGGAACGCCTCAGAGCGAGGTAACGCCGCATGAGTCATGTTTTTTCGTGCGTGCAGCCGGCTCCATCGAATTATAAGACGTTGTCACGTCAAAAGCATAAAAAAATATTTTAAACTTTTATACTTAAATTTTATAGCCAGTGTGATACATGTTACTTTTAAGTAAATACCTACTTTAAATTAACACATGTTAATGTGCTCGAATTTTAAGGTGAACACTAGTTAAAATAAAAAGATGGTGATCTGCCTCACTGTAAGCGGAGACTGGCACCCATCACATCATCATAATCATCATCACATCCACAGCCTTTAATAGTCCACTACTGGACATAGGCCTCTCCTTAGAAAGGAGGTTTTGGCCTACTATACCACGCTGACCAGACGGGTTGGTATAGGGTTTGTGTCAAGTTTTCCTTTTTTTTAAAGTGCTGGTGTCCTGCGTTGTTTTGCGCCCTTAGTCGGCTCTTTCTTACGACATGCACGGGATGAATTGGGGTAGTGACATTCCGTATTCTTAATCCGTCATTTAACGGACAATCATAACGCACGAGCAATCTGGCCCCTATGGTCAATCATAAAGTCTAGCTTTTGACAACTTCACTCATCGAACGAACATACGACATTGCTACTGGTGGCGTTTAGTTGCGAAGCCTTCCATCCATAGAGATTTAATATAGAGTTAACAAGAGCCCCAATCTTGCAATATAGGTAACGAGAGAGATGGATAATAGATAGTTCCCTCTATCTCTTTCTAGCCGAGCTCTGTGGTTGACTGATAAATATGAGAGGTTAAGGCATTGGACTTGCGATCAAGAGGTCGTGGGTTCGAATCCTGACTAGTACACTACCGACGTACACAAGAAATTTAGCTTAGCGGGAGGGGTAACGGGAATACTAGTAATTTCGGTTGCTAGTAAACCTTTAAACAAAAACAAAAAATAAGTTGTCAATGGCAAGTTTAGCTAAACAGAGACAGAGGGCAATTCGGGCATCCATCTCTCTCGTTGCCTGTATCGCTTCCACTTACAGGCTGTACCCCGTGTTCTCTCTATGGTTATATCTCTATGCATCCATCCATCTGCTGAATAAGTATAATCCATCCTAGCTATCTTCCCCAGCACATTCAATATGACGTATAAGGAAATATGGCAACAGTACTTAATTACCTTATATTTCTTTCAGTTAAAATCTTAAACAGAAATATCCTTAATTTCCAAAATTTCGGCCAGCAAGAAAATAATATAACCTTCATTTAACAGTGTTAGATTTTTTCGTTATTTTATACTCTCATAATAAACAAACCTCAAATTCTGATTAACACGTTTAATACATTTTCGTCTCAAGTTATAGGTTCAACCCCAATCATCTTAAAGGTAGGTAAAAATAAAACTTAAGGAGACATCTTTAATTTATACACGTTAAGAAACTCACCTCCATTTAGTCCGTCGATTCTGAAACCACGTTTTCACTTGAGCATCAGTCATCTTTAAGGTCTTAGCTAAAGAGGCTCTCTCTGCTGATGCCAAATACTTCTGTTTATGAAACCTCTTTTCTAGTTCAGCAATCTGGAGCCTCGTGAACGATGTGCGAGGCTTCTTACGTTTAGGTGGTGTCCGGTTCTGATACGGGTGCCCGATCCGCCTCGTGATGGGGAATGACGCTGAAAAAATAATTTTAATTTTATCGTAAATGAACTCAAGTTTATATCATACTATACAGTATATACTGCGACGACCGGATGGCTTAGTGGTTTGTGTAACGGACTGCTATCTCAAAAGATGGCGGGTTCGATTCCCGCTCAAGTCAAACATTTGTGTGCATGAACATTTAATGTTTGATTTAGTCTGGGTGTTTCTATGTATAATATGTATGTATTTACAAAAAATAAAGTATAAATGTATTTATATCAGTGGTCTAGTACGCATAGTACAAGGTCTGCTTAGTTTGGGACTAGATGGCGTTGTGTGAATGTGGTAGAATATTATTATTATACTAGATATTGTCCGCGGATTCGCTCGCTTGATTATTACTCATTTCGTGTTTCTAACCTTAAAAATGGCGGACTACCTTGTGGTGAATGGCCTTAGAGGCTAAATTTTAAAAAATCTTTACTAAGTGGATGATTACAACATAAAAAACATCAGCTGCCAAAATTTCAAGTTCGTATCGCGGCACGACGGTTTAGGCTCTGGGTTCATGAATCAGCCAGTCAGGCCACGTAATTTTATATTTGTAGATGAAGTGTTTTGTTATCGAAGTGGTTTGTGCACGCAGTGAACAGTAAGACGGAAACCGCAGAGGTTGAATAGGTACCTATATTTCGTTTTTTAACAGACTCATAGCTTTAAAGCTTGCCTTAAAGCAATGTCTTATGCCTACAATATGTAGGTATTGTATGTGAAATAGTTTCTGTAAGACGTCTGGTTGATATTAATTCATTTCGAAATTTAAAAAACCTTTGATCGTAATCTCAAAGAAAAGTGCCACCGTAATAGTCTTATTCTAATTCTGTACAAAGCAATTTTACATCAACTCAAATCATCATACTATTACAACTGTAACGACTTGTAAATGCATATTTACGTCTAATCTTGGTAACGAAATCAAAATTTAATCGTCTTAAACAATAAGACGTTTAAAGAAACACAAAAAAATCTATGAATAAATAACAATCTCATTAAAATACGCATTCACATTACTCATTATAATACTCCTATGTATTATGGAACCTGTGATTACATCGTAATCAAAATATTCCGTCTATAATAAATGTTAAATTACATGTTGATGGTCATTCGTGGAAACACGACTTAAAATACTGGCAAATATAAACCGCAAGATATTGTGCTTTTTAAAAAAGGAAGCAGTAATCGTTACAAATCGTTTCAAAGTAGCTGTTGCACGTTCTCTTTTCAAAATTACATCCAAGATGGCGGTCGTAATCACGTTTTAAAAATTCGAAACTCAATAAATTACTATTTAAATGACGCGTTGCGATTGGCCGAGCGCCAGTAATGCCCAGCGTTTTCCGTAATAGATCGATTTGCATTAAATGATCCGTGAGATGAGATCATGTCGTTTATAACTATATTGTTGTCAATGTCATGTACATAACTTCATATCATTTTATAATCAATTTAATGACGTATTTATGTCCATTTACTTCGACAATTTTACAATAATTTATCTGTATTTTACTGGACCGTAAAATATAATGGCTATATTACAAAAAAAAAAATGTTTTGATTTGATTTGAACATCCTTTAACATTGCACATTGACTTCCCTTTTCAATTGTAGTTCACAATAATTTTGTAAGTCCACAAACTAACATTAACATAATACCTCTACTAACTAACTCAAAACCGTTATTGTTTGTTGTTCTGATTGTTTTACAACGGTAAAATTAGAATCATATCTAAAGTATCTAAACATAAGACCATGTGGCATGGCATTTAAAAAAGAACAAAAAAGCATAACTATTGTAATTTTAATTACCTGGTATCTTGTATTCGATATCAGATTCAAGTTAATCTTGGACATATAATCTAAGAAACATTTTTTTCTCTTTTAGGAATAATCATTCGGCTTTAGCTTTTACCTATTTGTAAATGTTGTTAAATGTACAAATACTTTTATGATCTATTATGTCTAAGTGTGGCGACGCAACTCCTTACTGACCTTATAAATTAACATACTACAAGCCATTATAAAAATAGAAGTGTTCAAAATGATGACGCCTTATCCCAAAAAAATGTTACATTTTTTCTTTTTCAAATATAGAATCGTATTAAACAGCGCCTTCTCATTGGTCGACCGACAAGCTTAATGGCCGCCTCACGTGACCGCAAATTACGTAGCAATTGCTGGGGAGTACGTAACTTCGTAGTTTAAGATTGTTAGTGACTTTTGTTCCCCTCGCAATTTAACTTTAAAGGTAAAGCTTTCGGATTATTCATTTCCGACCGCACGAAGTTGATACTGCCTACCTACTGAATTTTGAATTAATAATATTTTTGTTTTCTTCCGTTTGAACGCTTCGATGGAACATCTTTAGAAAGTTTTTTTTATTAAGTACTTTTTAAAACCTTTTGAGGATATTTATGGAAGAGGTTTAATTAAATTGATGAAGATAACGTTAGCTGACCTAAATGTTGTGACATTTCTGCTCCAAAAAGGGGTAATTTAATGTAGGAATATGATTAAATATAAATATGCTCTTTCTTCTACCGTCCAATACAAAAAATAAAAAGCCGACATAACGTAAATAAAAACAAAAAGCCGAAATTTAGTTAAGACTAGAAATCACTTATTATATTATTATAAGTGATTTCTAGTCTTAACTAAATTAATAAAAGATAAACAAATTAGTATTTGCATATATATTCTTATCATTAACCTCTTTAAACGGTTATTTTTCTTTTTTGTTAAACAAAGCGTATTTGTAGATTTTAAAATCTATCTCTTCTCTAAATGTCGCCGATATTTTACAAGATAATCAATCATCATGACCTAAAAGTTTATAGGTACGAATATTTTATTTGAGTTTCGTGTTTCTTTTAAATTGAATTTATTCTTATAACATTTTAGAGAGCGATCGATCTTCATGATGCAAAAGTCGGTGCGACTATCCTGTTATTCGACACGAACCTCTTTCTGTAACCTAATTTTAACGGTCCACTGCTATACCTAACTATAAGAAGTATATTATATGATACAATACTTTTATATACGCTTTATAGAAATAAATATTGAAATATAAAAACGAAAGAAAAAAGTACCGTAGGTAAACAACATTTTTTTTGTTTTGTTTTGTAAAGGGGTTACAAGTTTTGATGTCGGCACAAGTGGGTTCAGATCTATTGTTTACCGTATTTTATTTATTTTTCATCATCATTATCATTTTTGCCATTCCTATGACCTTCTGGTCTACTGCTGAACCTCCCTGGATGACTTTCAAGAAGACCAGAATTAAACGCGTTGGTGTACATTTGTATTGTTAGCCTTTTCCACTATCTTATTATTTTATCTAAAACATAATTATCCTGATTTACCAAAGATGAATCACCTTTAGTAAATCAGGATAACGCACCGTAAAGTGTTTAAATGCACCGGTTAGGCGTATGCTTGTTTGAACATTTATATAAAAAAAAACATCATGTGATTACATAAAGAACGATTAGGTACAGTAAAACACACATGTTACGTCGTTTCGTATCAGGCCAGGGAGGAAAAGGGTGTCGTAACTTGATTCCGCGGCCCTAATCCGTTTAGGCTCGGTATGATTCATGCGAACCTTCTTGCGGTATAGTGGTTTGTAGGGGTACGTTTGCGTATGTGCGCAGGTATATATAGAAAAGTATTCTCTAAACAAAATAAAATATGAATCAGTTTTATAACTTGCGATAGAACTATCAAATTTGAAATATTGTTACCACTCTTCTGGTCATTTCAGAATACTATTGTTTCCAGTCTTTTTTAAAGCAAAGATTTTCGCACAAATTTATTTAGCAAGTTTTACAGGTTTCTTTGTGTTCCTTGTAATTTTGATAGACGGAGATCAAATTATTTATTTAAACTAGTGTTCGCATAGTGGAAGAAATTCAATCATAATCTTTACTGAAAATTTGAATTTTGAATTTTTATAACATTTCCGTTGGGCGGCACGACCGGAGTGACACCTCGGCATCACGCACAACTGGTTTTAAGCAATTCTTTGGTTGCTGTTAACCGAGTGAGTGAGGTTAACGAAGCCCAAAGCCCCCGGCCCTCTGTAATGTTACAAAACCACATAGGTACATAACAGCAAAAAGAATATTTAATAAGCTCTCGCATTAAATAAAGAAATTACATGGAAAAATGTTCAAGAACGCCTTAAAAAAATGAGAAATCAAGAATGTGTCCTATAATTTGCAAGAGTATTTTCTCACAAAATAATTTGCATGCTTTTTAATTAATTTTTATTTTCCATTTTTCCAGATTGGGTAACTGTTGAAACTTTACCTATTAAACATCTACAGATATATACTTTTTAACGACAATTCCCGCACTAGGAATGCATCCTGTGTCGCGGGGGCCTTTACAAATGTACATGAAGCGGACACAAAGAACACCCAGGCTCAAAAAGGCAATTTGTAGATCTCACAAAGTGTCGCACCATGTGGGGATCGAACCTACAACACTCAGGGTAGTAGGAAACGGCGTGGCGACCGCTTAAACCACTACGCCATCCAGTCAAATATATATATAAAACAGTTTTTTGCAAATAAATGTCTTTCGTTTTCCCTGATTTTAGAGAGAGGGACTTAAAAGGTGGCAACTCACTCGTGACTCTTAAATTGTAGGTGTCCTTAAGCGATGGTAGTCACTTACCACCAGGACTAGTATCCTCGTTTGAGCTCTTGTGCTATAGGCAAAAGTTTACTCTTACACATGCTCACTTTGTTTAACTAAAATCTGTACAGTCCTCTAAAGAAAGTTTGAAATTAAAATGTATTTAATTTTTTTATTCCTTCAACTATTGTTAAAAAGCAGCTATTCTGTAGATACTGAATAAAAACAAGCTTATTGGTTGTGTAGCAGACGGGAAATGTGTACTAAAATTGTTACTAAAAAAAACAAATTCTAAAAATATATAGTAGTGTTTTATAACATATATGTA